CAGAGAGCAGACCTTCCCTACAAGAAATGCTAAAGAGTTGAAATGTAAGGACACTAGGCAGTAACTCAGATCCACACAAGGAGATAAAGAATGCCAGTAAGTGTAAGAGTCAATGTTAATGTATGTTTTGTTTGTAACTCTGCTTTTTTCTTACACGATTTATAAGACCGCTGCATAAAACAGTAACCATAAGTGCATGGTTCCACTTACAGGAAGTGCTCAGTGCTATCTGCGTTGATAGGCACACATGTATATGTGACAAAAACAACAGGGAGTCAGGACAGCAATTTTTTCATTGTAAAATATGTATAACATATGATTTACCATCTTAACCAGTTTCAAGTGTAGAGTTCAGTGGTATTAAAATACGTGTATAATGTTGTACTGCTGTCACCACTCTCCATCTCCAGAACTGTTTTTCATCTTGTAAAACTGGAACTCTATACCTGTTAATCAAAAACTCCCCATTCCCTCCTGCCCCCAAGACCCTGCAGCCACCGTTCTAGTTTCTGACTCAGTGAATCAGACTACTCTGAGCACTTCATGTAAGTGGAACCATGTACTTAACGTCTTTTTGTGACTGGCTTGTTTCACTTAATATAATGTCCTCAAGGTTCATCCATGCTGTAGCATATGTCATACTTCCTTCTTTGTTTTTTTTTTAATAACTCCTATTGATTTTGTACATGTTAGTTTTTTGGGTGGGGTAGCGGTAATTAGGTTTATTTATTTTGTAATGGAGGTACTGGGATTGAACCCAGGACCTTGTGCATGCTAAGCCTGCACTCTAGCACTAAGCTGTACCCTCCCCCCATCCTTTTTGGGGTTGAATAATATTCCCATGGTATGTATATGTCGTATTTTGCTGACCCATTTATCCATGGATGGACATGTGGCTATTGTGAATAATGCTGTGATCATGCGTATACAGTTTTCTCCAGGGCCCTGCTTTCATTCTTTGGAGTATGTACCCAGTGGCAGAATAGCCAGACCGGAAGGTGATTCTGTCTTTCAAGGGGCTGCCGTGTTTCCCACAGAAGCAGTACCATTTTACATTCCCACCAGTAGTACAAAGGGTTGCAGTTTCTCCATACTTGTCAATGCTTTGTTTTTTAATTGTAGCCACCCCATTGGGTGTGAGGTGGTATCTCAGTTTTGACTTTTATTTCCCTAGTTAGTTACCATTTTGAAGGCAGAAGGAAGGAAATAATAAAGACTAGAGTGGAGATGAGTGAAATAAAGAATAGGATAACAATAGAGAAAATCAAGCCAAAATTTGGTTCTTTGAAAATATCAATAAAATTGATAAACATTTATAGCTAGGCTGACAGGAAAAAGAGCTCAGATTACTAAAACAAGAAATGAAAGTGGGTATTACTACTAACCTTATAGACTAAAATGTATCATAAGAGAATGGAAGACCGTGTACAATTGCATGCCAAAAAATTAGGCAGGGATGAAATGTAAAAACTCCTAGAAACACACAAACTACCACAACTGACTCAAGAAGAAGTGGAAAATCTGAATAGGCCTGGAACAAGAGACTGAATCAGTTCTACTAAAAACCTCCAGCAAAGAAACTGCCAGAGCCAGATGGTGTCTCTGAATTCTACCAAACCTTTAAAGAATTAACACCAATTCTCAAAGTCTTCCAAAAGATAGATGAAAGGAATTACTGCCTGATTCATCCTAGGAAGCCAATATTACCCTGATACCAAAATCAAAGATAAGTACAGATCAATATCCCTTATGACTATAGATGAAAAAGAAAAAAATTTCTAAGTGTTAGCAAATCAAATTTAGCAGAATATTAAAAGAATTCTATATCATGAGCAAATGTTTGTCCATGGAATGTAAGGATGGCTTAACATTTGAAAATAAAGTAATACATCCTATTAATCATTTGAGGGGGTTGGGGAAACCCTACATGAGCATCTCAATAGATCAGGAGCAAGATAGGGAAGCCAGGTTTGGTCTGGTCAGTGTGCTACTGGAAGCTTTAGCCAGGTCAGTTATACAAAAGACATTCAGCTTAGGAAGTAAAATTATCTCTTCACAGATTACTTAATTATATATATATTTTTAAAACCCTTAAGAATACACATACACACACACACACACAAAACTAACAGCTCGTGAAAGCAAGGTTTCAGGACATGAGATCAATGCACAAAAGTTAGTTGTATTCCTGTACTCTTGCAATGAACCATGCAAAAAGTAAGAAAACAAATCCATTTATGATGGCATCAAAAAGAGTAAAATATTTAGGAATACATATAGCCAAGGAAGTATAAGACTTGTACACTGGAAACTACAAAATATTGTTGGAAGAAGTTTTTAAAACACCTAAATAAATGGAATGACATTTCATATTCATAGTTTCAAAGACTTAACATTGTTATGATGGCAGTGCTTCCCAAATTAATGTAGATTAAGCCTGTTCTTGAGCAGAAGAATCCTAGCTGACTCCTTTGTAGAACTTAACAAGCTGATCCTGAAATTCATATGGAATTGCAAGAAACCCTAATTAGACAAAACCTTGGAAAAGAACACAGAGGACTCACAATTTCCCAATTTCAAAACAATACAAATTGAAAATAATCAAAACAATGTGAAACTGGATTAAGGACAGATAGATCAATGGAATAGAATTGAGTCCAGAAATAAACCCATAATCTATGGTGTATTGACTTTCAACAAGTGTAGTAAGACCATGCAATGGAGTAAAGTCTTTTCAACAAATGGTGTTGGAATATCTATAAACCCAAGTACAAAAGAATGACTTTGGACCCCCTACCTGACATCATATACCAAAAATAACTCCAAATGGATCAAAGACCAAAATCTAAGAAGCTGAAACTACAGAACTTTGAAGGAAACATAGATGTAAATCTTTATGACTGAAGATTAGGCAATGGTTTCTTAATAAAAGAAAATAATTTTGGACTAAATCAAAATGTCTAAACTCGTGCATCAACGGAACACTGTCAAAAAGTCAAAAGACAAATCACATAATGGGAGGAATATGTACAAAGCAGAATCTGATGAATGTATTGTCTAGAATATAAAGATCTCACATTACATTATGTATTCTCTTACAGAATACATAAATAACCAAAATACAAACAATCCAACTTTCAAATGGGCATAATACTTGAATTTTTTGAAATAGGATATATAAATGACTAATAACACTTGAAAACATACTCAGCATCATTAGGCAAATGCAAACAGCAGTGACACGTTTTCACAGCCTCCACTGGGATTGGCTATATATATTTTTTAGTCTTAAAAAAAAACCAAAATAATTAGTGTTAGTAGGGATTAGAGAAATTGGAACCCTCATACACTGCTTGTGGGGATGCAGAATGGTCCAGCTGCTGTGGAGGACAGATGGTCTGGTTACAACAACCTGCACCATCTCCCCCAGCTCTTGGTTGACCCCAAAGCCAGCCCTGGAAGCTTTAACAACCCCAGTTGGTGTTGCTGTCCGTGGTCCTCACAGAACGTGCAAGCATGCGCTTGCCACCTGTTTTGCTGTCCGTGGTGCTACCGAATGGTTCTTTTTTAATGATCAAGAAAATGCTGCATATTGAAAGAGCAGATTTCTGAAACACAGACTAGAATACAGTAATAAACATGAGATTTTGGCTTTTGCCAACGTGTGTTACAGTTAGGGCTCTGGCCTATGTGTCCCCATTCACACTGAAGAATCAGTATTTTCTAGCTGCCCAGTGTTCCCAGAACAAGTTCTGGGATTTAGCACAGTTGATGGAAAAGAAGAGCTAGGCAGACAGCAACCAGGGCTGCGGATTGCAGGCTATTAACCACATCAGAGGAGCCACTATCCTTTGGCAATCTCTGGCTTGGAATTTTCCCCTTTTGACTTCCTATACGCAGTCTAGCAGAAAGTCCTGTGGATTCTGTCTTCTAAAAACTCCTAGGTCAGTCCCCTTCATCTCATCTCTGCCAAGACTCCATGTTAATGCTGATCATCACCTCTGCTTCCATCACCACTCTCTGTCTTCTTCTAATGACCATTTCTTGCTGGGATCATCCCTTTGGGATGAAATCTTCAAAGTGGAATACCTAAGTGGAAGTATAGGTACCTTGTTTAAGGGTTTGTCAGAATATCTGTACCAAGGTGCATTTCCATCAACTTTGTAAAGGAGGGCCAGGGCCACTTTCAGGTGGCTAAAGCTCTGACAGCAGTACATTTCAATGAAAAATTGACCAAAAGAAATACATTAAAAACAACAAAACAAAACAGAAAAGCTAACGCTTGTAGAATACTTAGCATGCACCAGGACTGGGGCAAGTGTATGTGGTGCTTCAGAACAAAGCTTTTATAGTTTTCAAAGCTTTGAGTTTTATAGATGGGATAATGAGACCCAGATAGGTCAAGAAGCTTGCCCAAGTTCAGACAAGACCCCCAGAGAAGATCAGGTAAGCTTCCTGAGACCACACAGCAAGCAAGTGGCACAGCAAGGACTGAAGATGATGCTCGCCTCCCCTTCTCTTGCCAAGGAGACTCCCCCTTCCCTGAGTCTCAGAAGCGCCAGGGGTCTCGGAGAAAGCAGAAGATGCGGAAAGGGGAAGGGGGGGTGCATTACACGGGAGCAGGCTGTGTCTGCAGGCAGGCTGGGAAGGGGGGCTTCCGGGACTGCAGGGTCGCCATAGCGGGTGTGATGCAATCACGCCCGTCGCTGCGTCAAAGGGCGGCTCCGGGGATGCGGGAACTGCAGCAGAGCTGGTCCCCACCGCCGCCCATCTCTCTCCCTCCGCCCGCGTGGCCAACCCAGCAGGCACCTGCTGCCGCCCACCTTCGTCCGGCCTCGGGACCACCGCCCGGAGGCACCAGCGACACCTGACCACCTCTCCCAGCCACCAGCGACCCCTGGCAACTGCCCCCAGGTACCGGCGGCCCCTGACAACCGCTGGGAGCCACCGGTAACCCCTGACAGCCGCCGCCAACCAC